ACATGTTCTTTTTATACTTTTTATAAACGAGTTTGTACGTGACATGGAGATTCTTGGGCTAAGAAGCATATTTGTGAAGGATAATTTTGATGAAATGATGTTATTATATTTTGCTGATGATGTCACTCTTGTTGATGACTGTGTAATTGGACTAGAGAAAACTAGATGCTTTAGACTCTTTTTGTGACAAACTGGGCCTTGAAGTTAATTCAGATAAGACAAAAGTCATAGGTTTTTTTCATAGAAAGGGTGGTTATCTGAGGAAACCTGAGAAATGATTTTATAAAGGTTCGCAAAGTTGTATCATATTTCAAATACGTTGGTCTACTATTCTCTTCAAGGCTTGTTTGGACCAAAGCATGTGATACACTAGCTATTCAAGCAAGGTAAGCTTTTTCATTTTCTACTGCTAAAATATTTGATTCAAAGATTGCTTCTGTCAGAAATTTGGGAATGTGCCAATAGAAAAGGTTCAGAATCATTTCTTAAAAAGTGTTCCTTCCGTTGATAAAAGAACATGAACAAATGCAATAATTATTATTCAAGGAGAGCTGGGAAGAACATCGTGTGTACACTATTACAGTCGTTGTATTAAGTACTGGTGACGACAACGTAGATTATATGAAACACGATATCCGTATGCCTGTTACCATATTTTAAAAGCATTTGACAAAAATAGTCAAACTAACTGGATTTCTTACATAAGACAATTATTGTTTCAAACTGGGTTTTCATATGTGTGGTTGTCTCAGGATTGCGGCGATATGTAATGCATCATGGTTATAATCAAACAACGATGTAAAGATATAGAATTCAAAAACTGGCATTACGAAATCACCAATTCTTCTTTCCTTGATGTTTATTTATCTTATAAATCACTACTCGAACTAGAAAAAAAAATATCTGTCTACTTTAGCATGTGAAAGAGATCTTCTCAGAGCTTCATGTAAATTCCGTTGTTTGAGCCATAATCTAGAAAGAAAAAAGTACAGAAAACTCGATTTAATACAACCAACGAGCCATCGTTTAGTTTATGTATAAAATGGAACCGCTATGAAATAAAAAATGAAAACCATTTTTTTGGTTAATTTGTACTTTTTATAAAAGTAGTAAAGAATATTTAAATCCAATATATTACCATGTGCAACCATTTGTTCCAAAAGTTATCAGTCTTCTATCTACCAGAAATGATTCTGTTATTAAAAACCTGTCCATATATTTAAAAAGACATTTACCTCTGTAAATACAAAAGTAAAAAATATGAACGTCTGTTGAAGGAAAATATGTGCATGTGTATAGCATATATTATATATATATATATTATTCCTGTAATGCGGCCTTCATTCATAAATAAACTTCTTCTTCTTCTTCTCCGCCTTCTTCTTCTTCTTAAACGTGGAGGGTGGAGATTGTTTTGTACTGTATTCACATCCAATGATGATTTACCCACGTTCTGTCTGAGGTGAGAAAGAGAAACACAACAAATCATTGAATGGCAAAGTGTATTTATACAATTTAGAATACGTACCAGATCTATTTGAATTTCAACTCAAACTTATACATAAGATAACTCATGCAAAAAAAGGAATTATGTAGAATACAATTAGTGGACGGTGAGCTTTGTTGGCGCTTTACGACTTTCAACTTCTATTTCAGACGTGTTAATTTAGATAGGAGGTTACAGACGAATCTTTGGTACGACAGAACAAATACTAAATGAAGGCCTTCAAAACAAGATTCACTTCGATACACATTCTATATTCTTTGGTTTCCACGATATAACAATCCTCTTCATGATCATATGGTACTATGTGCTAACAAGCATATACACAGACCAATCATTAAAGGCCCAACACCACCAGTTGAAAGACATTAGCGATACACCAGTTTCCAAGCTCGAAATGATCATAGCCCTTCTAAGGAATATATATCTCAGTTTTGTTAAGAATAGTCAATGAGCTGTTAAACCGAGAATGTTTGCTGGCATCCCCAAACGTCCCTGTATTATCCTTATTTCCGGAATGATTATGGTATGTGAGATACCAGCCAGACATTGCCGTGTTAGCGTCAACCAATTATCAATGACACCACGCGAAGTGCTTGAATTATCAACTGTAACAGCTGCTTACTTTTTGTCTTGCTGACACTGGATTACAATGCATGTGTTATATGTGTAGGTTTAATTGCTTGTACTGATAAAATGTAGTAATGACCATGATCTGTGACAAATGGTATCATGTAACATGAATAATGTGATGCATTATTAATACACTGAACAGTTGTTGTTCAAGAATGGCCATCTAACTTCCAGAAAAAATATCACGTTGCCATTTGAGAAAATGTTATGGTTCTATTTCACTAGATATATATCAGTTGGGACAGAATACCCAAATCAAGAGGCACTGGGCACCGGCGCATCTGCTCACAGAAAATAAGGTGCCCCTGCACGTGTACATTGACATGCATGTCTGTGTCACTCTGTGTCACACGCATGTTCAATTCTATATTGTTACATTTATTATTGTATAACACATGGTCACCTCAATTTCTGTTATTAACTGCACTCAAATACATACATACCTAGCACCGGGGGAACTACAATATTCCCTTTAGGGGTTATTATAGTAGCATGGGCACTGAGAAAATATCAAAATATTTCAATCTTCAAACTGTTGTACGGGAGAAAGGCCCACCTGGATGAAGGTAATAAACGTTGACCACTATTTGTCAAATACTTGCCAATGGTCACAGATGATGTAACTACGAAAGGGGATGTATGTACGATGAACGCTATTTTTCAGGGCATTATCATTTGCAGAAGCCCGAGGTCTTCCATTAACGGCCCGACGAAGGGGGGCAGTTGAAAAGACCCAGGGCTTCTGCAAATGATAATGCCCTGAAAAATAGTGTTACCGTTAATATAGCTAAAATGGATGGAATTTGTTATCAAATAAAAAGAAACAACAATATCGGTTTTGAAACATTTACTGCAATCGACACCAATGTCACTGACCAACTTTTACAAATATTGAAACGTCATAGAACAAACCAGATGCCGTCACTATTGAATGTGGCGTCACCTATCCCTATCCTATGACGTCACCTAACAACGGGCGTGATAATGGCCCGTCGTCTAGTAATATGAGGGCATTATCAAGTTACAGTGACCCGCTCATTTCTGATAGCATGCGGGCGGTTTAATGATAATTCTTTCCAATTTAGCTATGATACGTATTATAAACATATCAGGTTACACATCTATGCATGCTTGCATCCTGCCTTTTTCTATGGGCCATGTGGTAGTTAATACTGTATGGTTTGTAATGTGAAGAGTACAGATATACCGCACCTCCAACATTAATCTAAACGCAGGGTGATAAAACGAAATACCATTCAAGGCTGCAGTGAATGTGTCCAGAACCTCTTATGCTCTGGCCGGTCTCTGTAAAGGGTATTTCCAAAACTCAACATGCTGTTATCAGGGAAACATACCAAGGAATTGACAATAAGAAAAAAGTTTGGTTTGCGATAACACAGCACTTAAACCACGTGGTGCATTGGCCAACATATTTTCCTTAGCTCAAAAATAATTTCCTGATCATGAAAAATCATCATTTCGGGCTTTCCTACCGAATTAAGCTGCCACGCCGCGATATAACTGTAATACTGTTAAACCGGCGTTGAACCCAACTAACCAACTCACGCTTTTGCTAGCCCGGGCTAATGCTGGTTATATAGTGCTAGACCACTGAGATACCATGCTGCAGTTTAACATGTGTACCCCACTCATACACAGTATACTGACTCTGAGCCATCCAGTCCGTGTTTTGTCCCCTCGGTGCTGAGCACCACTCAGGGATACGATCTTTTAATGTCTTTTGGTCTGACGCGGGCGGGGATCTAACCACCGACGTTTCGCTCTCTGGGCAGATTCTCTTTTCCATAGAACTCGAAGGTGGTCACTTTGTCACTAACTTAACAAACAGCATTCATCAGTACTGTATTTTCAACTTTTGACTTGACTCTAAAGCATGAAGACACATTCATTCCTCTTTCCTCTTTTGTACTGAATCCCAAAGCTCCATAACAATATGTACAAAGTTATATATGTTGCTGGGTCAAACAAATATACCACCAAATCACTTTCTCATAATCCTTAATACAATAAAGGAAAGGATTCTTCACATTCACAAAATGGAATAATTATCAAAAAAATCCCGATTCTCCAACATTCAAGTATTTGCATGAATTGTTGCTTCAAAAAGAAAAAAGGGCAATTCTGTCAAATCATGTTTCTACTTGGTATACCCCTATCTCTTCAGGTATATCGATTATCTGACATCCTCTAATAATGTCAAATAGGCAACCCCTTTCTACTGATTTACCCACCTGAACTAGTAATACAAGAGACCAGTGAAACCATCTGATCTGTTTTATATTTAGATCTATTCATAACGATTCAGAGTGACAGAAAACCCAAGGCCGCATGACAAGAGATATGACTGCAAGTTTCCCTTTATGTCCAGCAATATATATCCCAGGAGCTCCAGCCTTTTCCCAACTTTTGAGGTGCAATCGCACAGACAACGCGTTTGTCTCAAGGAGCACAAGAAGACTCTTGCACAAAATTTGTTAGATCAAGGTTACAACATTCAAGGCCTCAGTAAAGTTTTCAAAAGGTTTTATAGTGACATATTTCCAAATTTGACGTATTTTTACAGGTGAACAATTAACCTTTGTTTTTACATGTGTTTGTGACAGGTGTGCCCAGTGGACCAGGATATGTTCCTCTTTTCGCGAACACCTGGTATCATCCCGATTTGATAATGATTCAGGAACACATGCTCAGAGTATATTCGGAATCATACAATCGACTCATTCAGCCAATATTTCCTATGAATATGCAAAGGGGTTTGTGCTTGTATTAAAAGCAACGATTGCACAGATTTATTGATCATATCAAGTTGCCTTACAAGTTCACATAGCACTCAGTGTTAACCATGTCGAGCATGGAGGACGGTGATGCAGGAGCACCAATGGCAGAGCTTCATTGTCAAGTAGAAAATGGCAGTGAACCTACACGACAGAGAGAATCGTGGAGCAGACATCTGGACTACATGCTAACAATGGTTGGCTATTGTGTTGCATTAGGAAACCTACTGAGGTTCCCATATATCTGCAATAGAAACGGTGGAGGTAAGAATATTAAATATATACAGATACATTGATATTTATCGCGTGATAAAGATGAGGCACGAGCTACCAAACTATGAATGCCCTTGCCTATAATAACAACACGACATGAGAGTGGATTAAATGGCCGGCACTGTGCAGGTGTTGTTGAGCTACAAAGCAGATAGTAGGGTGCACGAAAAGCTAGCGTTGCGAATGGCGATTAGCCGTTACCGCTGCCGGCCTCAGTAGCCTATTTAATCATCAGAAACGCTACCGTGGATTGGCAAATACCACGCTGCCAAAAGCAGTTATCGCTGCCCGGCCCCAGATAGCATAGTTGGCCACTACCTTTGCCGACCAAACCAACCACCGCTGCCTGGCTCAATTAGTAAAACCATTGTGGCAGCTACTTCCGCTGGCCCAAATATCAACTACCGCTGACATGATGACTACCGCCGCATGGGCAATATACATGGCACCTAGCTGAGCAATGTAAGCTTTTTTACAATTCCACGGCTGAAAAGTCGGGAAAGACAAGGTTTCCACTGAGAACGAAGAACATGGGAAAAGTTCCTGCTGAAATTGAGGTTGCCTTAAACGTGAGAAGTAACTTGGAAGCAAGTCAATTTGTTACTAGCAGGGTAGCCCACAAGAACCACGAACACCTCGATATTGTATATCGTTGAGACAGGCCTTCACATATATACAGTTATTGGTAAGTCATGTTTACTAGTATTTAGATATAGACTGAGAGGCATTAAAAACGCATATTCAATTTTAAGATATAATTTTTTAAGAACATATGAGGTCCGTTTACATTTTACCTTGTTGACACTGTCCATTGTTGGTTATTACTGTAAACATGTCATATGGGGTGCAAACAAAAACTGTTTCTGGAAACGAAGCCAACCACCAAAACGCAGCACACCACTGGGAATGCTGCTATCGATGCACATTTTGTGAAAGGCATGATGCACGTGCAAACCTCAAAGGTAGGCCCTATAAATGCACACCATGACATTTTGCAATCACTTTCCTACACAATGCCACGGTTAACGCAAGATCAGCGTAATGAAGCAATGGGGATGTTAAATGCTGGTCGTACCCAAGAACAAGTTGCTGCTCATTTCCATTGCCATCAAACGACAATATCGAGCTTACATGAGCGGTTGAGAACCACAGGCAGCGTAAGGGACCGTCCTCGACCAGGTGCACCGCCTGTGACGTCACAGAGACAAGATCGTCAAATCGTTAACAGCCACCTCAGAAATCGCTTCACGTCTGCCAGGTCAACGGCAAATGCAGCCATTGGTCTCCATGGAAGACACATCAGTGACCGTACAGTGCGTCGTCGTCTTGCTGCCAGGAATTTGAGGTGTCGACGACCCTGCCGTGGACAAGTCTTGACTCAGGCACACAGGCTAGCACGGCAGCGATGGGCAGCTGGTGGGGGTAATCTCGGTGGTAGAGATTGGAGACAAGTTGTTTTTTCTGATGAATCACGTTTCACAGTCAGCTACCCTGATGGACGTTTACGTGTATACCGACGCCAACATGAACGATTTACACAACCATGTGTTATTGAACGTGATCGGTTTGGAGGTGGAGGTGTTATGGTTTGGGGAGCAATCAATGCAAATTTCCGCTCGGACCTTGTTGTTATTCAGGGGAACCTTAATGCTAGACGTTACATCGACAACGTTCTACAGCCTGTTCTGCTGCCATTACTGACACAACGTGGTTTACGTCGCCATGTCTTTCAACATGACAATGCAAGGCCTCACACTGCCAGGATAACAAATGCCTTCTTGCAACAGAACAACGTTAATGTGTTGGACTGGCCTTCAAAGTCCCCAGATTTGAACCCTATAGAACATTTGTGGGATGAACTTGGCCGCCGTGTCCGACGTCAACAAAATCCTCCACAGACGGTTCCACAACTGACTCAAACTCTTCTGCATCATTGGCGACGTATTCCTCAGGCTGCAATTCGTCGACTGTGTCTCTCAATGCCTCACCGGCTTCAAGCGTGCATTGCTGCACAAGGAGGACACACTCGTTATTGACACCACTCGCCTTTGACGTCATTTTCATAGACATTAATTCTTTGTCACACAGTAAGTGTTCATGAAATTCACCAGTGTAATCTTTAAATAGGCTCTTGTATTGATTGTCATTTGTATATTTCATTTCAGTAAAACATTATTGACACTTAAATTTGAGTATGCGTTATTTGTGCCTCTCAGTATATAAGCAACATTATAACATAATAATGTATATATACATATATACAAGCATCCTTAAAACATATTCATTTACTTATATAAGAGCATTGTTGAACCATTTCATTTACATATGCACAGATATATGTAAATATCTATATGCACAAGCTGTTCTACTGGTACCTGAAATAAAAGAAAGATATGAAATGCAAAATGAAATGCACAAATACCAGATGAAATATGGAAAGAGAAGGAACGGGGATGGGGGGAAAGCGATTAGATACGATGGTAAATAATGCAAATGCAACATGCAAATAAGGTAATTTACCAGAAATCACTTTGAAAAGGCAGGATATACTTTGATATACATCTCCAATTATTTAAGGTGCAATTCTCATGTACAACTTTGCAGAATAGGCCAGACCGTAATATCGTTAATGCAAATATCGTTTTTAAAACATTGAAAGCATTTATTTCTCAAACTGAGTAAGAAACAATGTGCGAAACATGCTATTTCTTAAATAGCGTTTATTGTTCGCGTTTCAGTACTTTATTCAGTTGCTTTATTTTGTTGTGAGACTTAGCTTTGTTTATAATATTCGCTGATCCGTGTTTGCAATTATGAAGCATCGGTCGTTCTAACTTCGTTCCCCTTTGCGGTATTGTGAGTTTATATAGATCATTACTTGCCAATATGTCCAACTCTGACAGTGAAAATAGTTTTCGCGTTATCATGGAATGTGAATGTTTCTCGGAAAAGGAATTGGTGATTTCTGAGGAAGAAGTACAAGTGAACCCCTACATGTTTGAACCTGTACGTGCATGTGACCGACAGCAGTGATCAAAATAACAAGAATGATCCCCATCTTAGAAACATGGATCAGAAGGGATTGCAAAACACATATTGGTTAGGCTTTCATTTTGTTTTCTCACATATCATCACAATATCCTGTTGTAGTCCTGAAGTACCACTACATGTCATAGAATCTGTGTCACTTGCTAACGTTTTGCATTACGCTATACACAAGGCTGAGTGATGTATGATAGCTGGACTGATTGCTGGCATACATTAATATACTGCATGTGCGTGCAGTTCTTAAGATGAGAGTAACTGCAGGTGAGACACAAACTGTTCTGGTTATTAGCACAAATTGGCCACAAATATATATACTCCTAAAAAAAGAAACGCACAGGTAGTATGTAGCTCATTCAACCTGACTACACAAAATATCCGGTATATAAATTCGATAAATGTCTTTGGAAAATGTTGGTGGAATGATATTCGACAAATGGTGCGTCAAATTTCAGAAACTGGAGACGAGTGTTGTTTAGCGATGAATCACGATTTCTTCTTCACCGGCAAGATGGAAGACAACGTGTTTGTCCAAACATGGATCAGAAGGGATTGCAAAACACATATTGGTTAGGCTTTCATTTTGTTTTCTCACATATCATCACAATATCAGTTTGTATATATATATATATATATATATATATATATATATATATAGATAGATAGATAGATAGATAGATAGATAGATAGATAGATATATTGTCGTCATCGAAATGAGCGTTTTGCCCACATTGTGGACGTGCATTCGACAATTTCGGTGGCGGTTGGGGCCATATCCTACACCACGAGATCTGACTTGGTTGTGGTTTAGACTCTGCGTTCAGCTCCACCTTGTGGCCTTATGTGACATGACAATAAACAGTTTTCAATACCTTTGTATAACGACAACATGTGACTATCGAACTCCAAAATTGCATATATGTACCTATGATATTAAATTATGTCGACTTTATTAGGTACAATAAATTTACTATAAATCTACCTGACTGTGCGTTTCTTCTTTTTGAAGAGTGTATATTTGTTTCTAACAGCGCGGATTAGGGGGAAATACATCACTCGAAAATACTTTACTCTGGTAAATTATAGAATTGATGTTAAATCAAGCACAGCCAAAAAGTTTAGTTTTCCGTTTGCCGGAAACCTCCTGGATACCTTCCCACTTTGGATCCGGCCCGGATACTTTCCGGAAACCTTTCCCCAAACATTTGCCAAACTTTTGTTTGGGGGGATGCATTTTGTTCAATTAAGTGTGAAACACATAAAAAAAATTATCTGAAGATTGCCAAGAAAATTGAAGGTTACTGAAGGTATCTGGAAGGTATCCGGAAGGTTTCCGGAAGGTTTCCATAAAACGGAAACCTACACTCTTTTTGCTGTGAAAGTTACATAACACGCCCCACTCGCCATACTCTTAACATACATGCAATACATCACAGGTCTCCTCACAACTTATGAAACTCTCGTATTTTCTGTACCAGGCCAAAGGTTATCACCGAGCAGCCTGTAATTACGCCACCCATCCACGTTAGCGCCTTTTAGATTCGTTTGGGTTGTCACAAATACAGACCTCAAATACGTTGTTTTCTATTAAGTGCAACACCGATAGGTTTACATTTTCACACTGTTTTTTCTCGGCCACCGTATTGTCCATCCCACTGGCTACATAATGATGTAAGATACATCTATTACTATTTTTCGTGATACTTGCACGTTAAGTTTCCCCAACATGTGGATGTGTCTGCAGACTAACATGGCTGCAGATTAAGATCGCATAAATAAGCAGTCCTCTGCTCGGGACTGATTTGATTACACTTGATATACATGATTTCTAAAATAGGGTCTCGATCGCATCATATTTTTGGTCAACCCCATATAAAGTTAATGTCAGTAGAGGCCACATTATGAAATTACGGATTATTTCGTGTACAATCTATGCAATTTCCAATCATTTCATATAAACTTTCAGTAATTAAAATAATACCTGTCATATGTCAAGGATGTGTCAATTGGCAATGACACTTTAAAGTTCATTTACTCATTAAATGACTTGTAAAAAGCTGCATTCAGTTCAGCATTCTTAGCATGGTATGGAGCGAGTGAGTTGGAACATCCATAGGCTGTTTTGTGCTGAAACTGAATGTGATTGAATGACGTTGAAGGACAATGGCAATCGGTGTGAAGACGACATCACAAAGAACTTGGGTATACAATATCTTAAGGAGGGCATTTAGAATTGGAACTTGATGACACCTCATGATAAAATACATCCATAGGCTGTGTTGTGCTGAAACTGAAGGTCAAGTTCCTTAAACAGGAAGTGTTAATTACTTTGTTGATAAGGTAGTTCCAGTTGTAATACTGTTTCAAAGTCGTATTGCATTGAGCATGTTTTACCTAACTGGAAGCTATGTACTTAAACCGGAAGTGCTTATAACTTTGTTTCTAAGGCACCAAGAACGTGGTACTTTTTATTTCAAAGTTCTATTTCAAATGGCATTTGTGAATATATGTTAATAAAATGGTTCGTGGTATATTTTTATGATGGGAGAATTCTGGAACTATCCGGGAGAGTTGGAGGTTGGACTGCTTCTGTTTGTTCCATGTGTTGCAAACACCTTTCTGATTAAGAAACGGGTTATCACTGACTGTGAAGAAGCAATTTCATCAAGGGTTGGGGGGCACGGGGGGCCCAGTCGTCTAAGGCGCCGCGATTCGCTGTGCAGAGTTGCGTCCCTTGGGCACGCCAGAAACCTATGATTGTGGGTTCGAATCCCGGTTTATAATCCGATTATGTTTCTAGGTTTGTCAGCACCATATCCGTGCTCGTGGGTTTCACCGAAGTGGTAAACGTCTGAGACCTGCATCACTTCGGGCTTTCCTCCCACATTAAGCTGACACGCCGCGATATAACTGGAATACTGTTAAAAGCGGCGTAAAACCCAACTCACTCACTCACTCATCAAGGGTTGTTGTTGCTGAATTTTTCTCATCATGTATGCTTTGTCAAGACATGTATTTAAGTTACTATTAATTCTGACATCAGGAACGAAGTAATCTTATCTGATGTATTCATGCGCGGCATTCAGCATCACTATTTATGAACATGTTTTTTTCATAAATATGACATCCAGTGCTACTGTCAAAGCATATCAGTGGCCAATTCGTGTTATTAAACTCCGTATATATCAGTTAAGTTCAAATTGCCTCCTGACATTTGTAATCTTCCTCTTTGAATTGTCCATCGTAATTCCCAGTCGATGTTGCGTGTTGTTATTACGTCCCCTCGGCAGACAGCGAGGACGTATCGTGGACGCAGCAGGACGTAATCGTTGTAATATTGGAGTGAGTGAGTGAGTGAATATGGTTTTACGCCGCTTTTAGCAATATTCCAGCAATATCACGGCGGGTGTCACCCGAAATTGGCTTCACACATTGAACCCATGTCGGGAATCGAACCCGGGTCTTCGGCGTGACGAGCGAACGCTTTAACCACTAGGCTACCCGACCGCCCTTGTAATATTGGAAGACAATTAGTGAATCAATTAGATGTAATTAATTGATTGGTATAACTATTCTTTTTTATACCAAATTACCTCCTGAGTCGCCCTTACATATTCGTTTCAATTACCTAATCTATCAATAGACTGCATTTTTGAAAACAGAAACAAATTGCTATCTAAGTAACTGTAAAGTTATTCAGATAAAGAAGACATCTATATGTAGCAGTAAAGTTCCATAATAGTTACAGGCAATAGTTATATTGCCCTGTCACAGGTCAATGCACAGTTAACCTTCAACTTCAGAGGCATCTACTTCTGAGGACGTATTGTGTTGTCCCAATGAATGTTACAGACCGCCATCATATAGTTGGAATATTGCTGAGTGCAGCGTCAAACAAGAAACAAACCAACCAACCGACCAACCATATGAAAGTATTGTTATTCCCACATGAATAAAAAGCTATTTACTCATTGAAGAGAAGTGTTTGACTCTTAGTGACACCCCTACGGTGAATGTTTATTGGAAGGTCGGGTCAGGGCGCTACAATATTATGAAACATTGTTTTTATTATTGGTAATGTCATTGTTCCTTTTGGTAGACAATGAATCAGTTTCACGTTTTGAATAAATTCAGTGCTTGTTTCCTTTTCCATGTCTGTTTTATCAAACGTGTTTTGTTCCTCTGGAAAGTTTTATTGGAGGAACATTTTATCGCTCACAATGATAACTAACCAGTTTTCTCTATATCTCATGATTCGTTATCCATAAGGCAATTTTCTATTTTTTTATTTGGCACGTTTGTAATAGCTTCCATTCATGTTCTAACGAGAACACTAGCTATTGCCATCGTTGTTTTGTTTGTTTGTTGTTTAACGCTGCATTCAGCAACATTCCAGCAATATGACGGCGGTCTGTAAATAATCGAGTCTGGACCAGACAATCCAGTGACTGATATCATGAGCATCAATCCATGCAATTGGAATATGATGACATGCAGCAACCAAGTCAGCGAGCCTGACCACCCGATCCCGTTTGTCGGCTCTTACCACAAGCATAGTCGCCTTTTACCCAAGCATGGGTTGCTGAAGACCTATTCTACCCCGGATCTTCACGGGTCTGTCATCGTTGTAATCTATTTTGATAAAGTATGTTTCTTCGCTTATGATCAGAATCTAATATACGATGCCATATTTTGAAACATTGTGGCTTCTTGAACTCGTGACTTCATATTTCCCCCAGGAGCTTTCATGATCCCCTTCATCTTGGTCCTTGTCATCACTGGGTTCCCGGCCTTCTTCCTGGAGTCGACGATCTCTCAGTTCTCAGGAAAGGGTGCCAAACAAGTTTGGAGCTTTTGTCCTATGTTTAAAGGTCAGTGACGCTATATTAATGAACATGACTTTGTATTCGATAATGTCCATGCAGTTGGGTTAAACATTTGAGACAACAGGTGTTGTTTATATGGTCACTAATTATTTCTTTTTGGTTATCTTAACTGTGTGTTTGGGGCATTCGGGTAGCCTAGTGGTTAAAGCGCTCGCTCGTAACACCTAAGGCCCGGGTTCGATTCCCGACGTGGGTAAAATGTATGAAGCCTATTTCCCGCCATGATGTTGCTGGAATAATACTAAAAGCGGCGTAAAACCATATTCACTCACTCACTGGGTGTTTAAATGTATAGAAAAAGAAGAAGTTTATTCATGAATGAAGGCCACATGGCCCAGAGTTCATTTACATGACTAATAGATGCTATGCACATGCACATATTTTCTTACAACAAACGTTCACATTTTTTACATTTGTATTTACATAGGTAAATGTCTTTTTAAATATATGGACAGGTTTTTAATAACGGAATCATTTCTGGTAGATAGAATACTGATAAAGTTTGGAACAGATGGTTGCGCATGGTAACATTTTGGAATTATATTTTCTCTACTACTTTTACAAAAAGTACAAATTAACAAAACATGGTATTCATTTTCTATTTCATAGCGGTTACATTTCATACATAAACTAAACGATGGCTCGGTGGTTGTATTAAATCGATTTCGGTACATTTAGATAATAGCTTAAACAACGGAATTTACATAAAGCTCTGAGAAGATCTCTTTCACATGCTAAAGTAGATAGATAATTTTATCTGGTTCGAGTAATGATTTATAAGATGAATAAACATCAAGGAAAGAAGAATTGGTGATTTTGTAATGCCAGTTTTGGAATTCTATATCTTTACATCGTTGTTTGAATATAACCATGATGCATGTCATATCGCCGCAATCCTGAGACAACCACACAAATGAAAACCCAGATTGAAACAATAATTGTCTTATATAAGAAACAAAGTTAGTCTGGCCATTTCAATGTATAGAACACATGGTGTGATCACTAATTTTCAGTGATCGATTCATATTTTGACCATTATTTTAACGCGGATAATCGAGACTGGTTGTACTCTTGCGTTGGGTGCCGCGTTAAACAACAAACATAATTTCATGCTGTTTCTAGAGAAGGTATAGATGTGCTATTGTTTTTTTACAATCAGGGATTGGCGTCGGCTCTGTATTGTTTACATGTGCTTACATGCCCTATTACAACCTCTATCTGGCCTGGCCCATCTACTACATGGTGAAGTCCTGCTCCAGCGTCCTGCCCTGGACAACTTGTGGCAACAGCTGGAACACTGACCTGTGTATTGACAACGTGAACACAACCTACAGAAGTAACGAGACAGTCCTTGGGGAGAATAACTCAGCTACAATCACCAAATCAGAGAAGTGGGAAAATGTGACTCTGGCTCACACACCTGCCGAGGAGTTTTGGAAGTACGATATATGTTATGATAGTTTTTTCAGGCCCACGATCTTCATTGTCAAAATACGATTCCATGTATTTTTTTCAGCTGCCAATATGGCTTTTACAGTACAAAGATGTACTCACTGGCTTGCTCAATTTTAAACAGAAACATTTTAATCTGTATGGCTGCCAAATTTGATTCAAGTTGTCCAAACACCATATTATGTGTAGGGGTCGTATCGCTTTTCCTGATCCTATTGATATTCACTATTGTTGTCAAGTTGAAAGAAACGTCGGGTATAGTCTGTTATATCACTGTCACATCGTGAGTGATTTATTAATCGTATATTCAAAACATTAAAAACAGTCTGATGCGACACTGCTTAATTCATATGTACATGAATAATATTCATACTCAGTCATACAAACAGTAATTAAACGATTAAAGATTCAGCCTACGGTTGCCAACCTTCAACATGATATCTTTTTTACCTTGGCCCGTTGGCGTAGTGTGTGTGTGTGTGTGTGTGTGTGTGTGTGTGTGTGTGTGTGTGTGTGTGTGTGTGTGTGTGTGTGTGTGTGTGTGTGTGTGTGTGTGTGTGTGTGTGTGTGTGTGTGTGCCTGTGTGTGTCTCTGTGTGTGGTGGTGTTTAACGCCGCATTCAGCAATATTCCAACTATAAACTATATGACGGCGGTCTGTATATAATCGAGTCTGGACCAGACAATCTAGTCATTGACATCATGAGCATCGATCTACGCAATTGGAATACGATGACATGCATCAACCAAGTCAGCGAGAATGAACCATCCGATCCCGTTAGTCACCTCTTACAACAAGTATAGTCGCATTTACGGCAAACATGGGCTGCTGAAGGCCTGTTCAAACCCGGATCTTCACGGGTGGCCCGTAAGCGTAGTAGTGGATCAGAATACCCCTCTTCACCAATTCAAAGTGACACGAACAAATGAACTAGCATAAAAAAAAACAACTAAATTTCAAAAAATCCAATCATCTTTGTTATTCATGTTTAATATGTCGTTCTGTCGACTCGAAGTATTTATGTCGGTCCCCTTAACTTCGCCACAACAGTGTAGTTAATTCAGTTCCAAGATAACTGACACTGTTATGAAGATATTAACTTTAATAGTACTTTACCACATTGATATAAATATATATTTTCAAAATATACACACGTCGTTTATGTTTTATATGAGATATCAGCATTTTGTACAACCGCTTTGGGGATGTCTATACAATGTACATGCTTTACAAACATTTACCCGTACTTAAATAATGATGACTCCCTGAATACAATCCGACATCGCCAATGTCGGACAAGTCCATATTATTAATAGGGAGGTTTCATTTGGCATTTCCTGGATATTCTCACAATTTGCACGTCCATTGTCTGATCCTTTTCTCCTAATACGGATTGTCATATCTCTCTTTTGAATGCGATTGTTCGGCCATTGCGTTTATCTGCGGAGCCCAGCTACATCTAGTTTATAAGTGCCTTATTTTTAAATAGATATAAAACATCAATGCAAGAGAAATGTCAATGTCTCGATTTTCTGCCAAAACAGATTCCATTGGGGATACACGGTAAAATAGAGGTGAAAAATATATGATGGATCACTGAAAATCAAAGACTTAAAATGTGCTTTCACTTTTTACTTTTGAAAAAACCGTATATACCAACTTAAATACCTTTTCTTTCGTTTATACCGGAATTGATCAGAGAAATAATTGTCGTTTAAGACACATCAAATACATGGAGAATTGTTGAACAATTTCTTAAACGTTTTTGCTTTACTTATAAGCAGTAGAAACATTGTGTTTTTGATTGCAACAAAATCATTAAATGCGCAATCGTGTGGATTTCTGCTCGATGACTTCATTGTCTGGTTTGTTTACATGCCGTCGTCGCATGGCGGGAGTACTGCTGTGTAGTGTCAGGCAACAAAGTAATTCTTTCATTATACATGTTTCGACGCTGTTTTGGTTTATTTTTTACGCCCAGTAGGGACTGTTTCGTCGGATGGTTGGGACTGGTTGTCCTATAGCGTTGGCGTTTTGTATCTTATTATCTAATTTGACCATGGTTAGCAGTTGTGTTCGTTAGTCGTGTCCAAAGTAGTACAATTTATGTCTAGGGCTTGCATGCCCCCACTCACTTACCAACCATTTGACTTTCAGGTACAATGTGTTGGATGTTTCCACAGGCATGGAAGACGTGGGATCTGTACAGTGGCACATAGTTGGATGTCTGTTTGTGTCATATATAATAATCTTTCTTTGTCTAATTCGTGGAATCAAGTCCTCTGGTAAGGTAATGTACACTAAAATTCTTCATACCTCTTGCCACTCATCTGAATCATCCATACCACTCCGGGACACTATTGAATACACTGGATGAGCCATCTATTCAATGCGTCTAAACAGCAACGCGTTTAAACAATTATAAAACATACACTCAAATACGCATACGCATATATTCTATGAAAGGTCAGATCAAATTAGTTATATAGTTTACACGAGCTTTTACAGAGCCGACTTGTGAATTCAGTAGTCCCGGGTGGTGTGTCTAATATTCCTCTACATCTCGCGATATTGTATCGTGTCATGTTTCTTCATGAATCTTGTCATGTTTCTTCATGAATCTTGTCATGTTTCTTCATGATCTTGTCATGTTTCTTCATGAATCTTGTCATGTTTCTTCATGATCTTGTCATGTTTCTTCATGAATCTTGTCATGTTTCTTCATGAATCTTGTCATGTTTCTTCATGATCTTGTCATGTTTCTTCATGAATCTTGTCATGTTTCTTCATGAATCTTGTCATGTTTCTTCATGATCTTGTCAAGTTTCTTCATGAATCTTATCATGTTTCTTCATGATCTTGTCATGTTTCTTCATGAATCTTGTCATGTTTCTTCATAAGCTTGTCATGTTTCTTCATGAATCTTGTCATGTTTCTTCATGAATCTTGTCATGTTTCTTCGTGATCTTGTCATGTTTCTTCATGAATCTTGTCATGTTTCTTCATGATCTTTTGATATGTTTCTTCATGAATCTTGTCATGTTTCTTCATGATCTTGTCATGTTTCTTCATGAATCTTGTCATGTTTCTTCATGAATCTTGTCATGTTTCTTCATGATCATTTGATATGTTTCTTCATGAATCTTGTCATGTTTCTTCATGAATCTTGTCATGTTTCTTCTGATCTTGTCATGTTTCTTCATGAATCTTGACATGTTTCTTCATGATCTTGTCATGTTTCTTCATGATCTTGTCATGTTTCTTCATGAATCTTGTCATGTTTCTTCATGATCTTGTCATGTTTCTTCACAAATCTTGTCATGTTTCTTCATGATCTTGTCATGTTTCTTCATAAATCTTGTCATGTTTCTTCGTGATCGTGTCATGTTTCTTCGTGATCTTGTCATGTTTCTTCGTGATCTTGTCATGTTTCTTCATGATCTTGTCATGTTTCTTCATGATCTTGTCATGTTTCTTCATGAATCTTGTCATGTTTCTTCATGATCTTGTCATGTTTCTTCATGAATCTTGTCATGTTTCTTCATGATCTTGTCATGTTTCTTCATGATCTTGTCATGTTTCTTCGTGATGCGCTTGGTATGATATTGATCATGGGTGGGTATTTCGCAAGAAGTGAAAACTAACGAGTGATTATGTTAATATCTTATTTATCAAAACTCACATGGTAATGAACCATAGCTTCACTTGGATTCAACTACCGAAACAAAAAAATTTAACATTACGCAACTATCCTTATGTTCATTTGAATTTGTCTTCTGACTGTTGAGTTTAAATATTCGTAATCTTTAATTCAGATGAATACTTAATTAACAACCCTTCGTAATTTCGGTCATATGACCTCTTTTATACCTACTATACCCTTACATAACTCGATGATATTTCCCTGACTGCAGGCTGTGTATGTGACCGCTCTACTGCCGTACATTCTCCTTGTCGCCATCTTCATCACAACGCTGCTGCAGCCAGGTGCTCTGTATGGCCTACACTACTACGTCATACCGGACTTCAACAAACTGCTTGATATACAGGTGTGTAATCATTAAAAAGAACAAAACCCTTCAATAATCATGAATCATTGCTAAAATTATATAGTCCATTGTACTAATCCGATCAGATCAAAATTATATGTTATAAATCTCTATCAAATAGTGGTGATAACAGACGTAACAGACGTTCGAAAATAAATGCGCATAGCCTGCCCCATCGGTGGCACCTGCTACAAACTAGGATGAGGCGGTTTCACTAGTCGTTTTCAATTCTACTTCAAGTGGGCGGGCACGGGTGGCCCAGTCGTCTATGGCCGCGATTCGCTGTGCAGAGTTGCGTCCCTTTGGGCACGCCAGAAACCTATGATTGTGGGTTCGAATCCCGGTTCTTCCCGATTATGTTTCCAGGTTTGTAAGCACCATACCCGTGCTCGTGGGTTTCACCAAAGTGGTAAACGTCTAAGACCTGCATCACTTCGGGCTTTCCTCCCACATTAAGCTGACACGCCGCGTTATAACTGGAATAGTTGTGAGTTGTGTTTAACGCCGCTTTTAACACTATTCCAGTTATATCACGGCGTGTCAGCTTTATTGTGGGAGGAAAGCCCAAAGTGATGCAGGTCTCAGACGTTAACCACTTCGGTGAAACCCACGAGCACGGGTATGGTGCTGACAAACCTAGAAACATAATCGGGGCGAACCGGGATTCGAACCCACAATATATAGGGCCCAACTCTGCACAGCGAATCGCGGCGCCTTAGACGTCTGGGCCACCCGTGCCCCCGCTAAAGAAAGAGATCAGTAAGGAAGTACAATAAGGATGTCTCCTTCTTGCCAAATGTTTTATCTTCAAATTTCATGTAGATGTTATCCATAAGGAAATCTAGCATTTAACATCATGTTTTCTTGTTTAACTTCAGATGACATGACAATTGTTCTGAATACATATTGTTCCATAGTAAGCATGGTATTACACCGCTTTAGCAATATTTCAGCAATATCACTGGGGAGGACACCAGAAATGGGCTTCACACGTTTTACCAATGTGGGGAATCGAACCCGGGTCTTCGGCGCGACGAGCAAACAATTTAACCACTAGGCTACCCCTACAAAATGATGTCATTCGTAACTATAACTTCAGGTCAAGTTTGATAACCAGGAATATTGGGGGGAATGAAGGTAAAAATTAACATGACCATGCTATTTATTGTATAAAAACTAGATTAACTGCAATGCTGTCATGTATAAGTTTACAACTCTACTCATGTATGCTTATCTTCATGATTGGTCAATTATAAAAAAGATGACACTGACTAACTACATATTGGGCAACATCAAAAGTTTACAGATGCATTTCAACCAACAACATGGCTAACAAGATAAAAGGCTAAATCGATCAATATTGTGTTTAAACTGGCCTGATGTTGATCATTTAGTGATGTGATGAAAACAATATTCATATGCAAATCAAATTCTAGTTCTTGAAAGGTCATACACGAATGTAAACACAGTCACGTTTCATTTTATCAATTCAGGTGTGGATAGAAGCATGTTTGCAAGTGTTCTATTCATTAGGACCTGGCTTTGGAATGATTGGCACAGCTGCGAGCTACAAAAACTTCAATGAACCGTGTCTCAGGTGAGTAATATATACATCGGTGCATTTACATGAGAACGTATCACAATGAAACATCACATGATTAAAAATAACAGGACTTTATCATATACTTCACTGTGAAAGTGGGTTTTCTAAAGTTGAGAAAAGTGATATTTTGATTGCAGTGAACATAACACTTGATATTTCACTGCAGGGAACATAACACTTTGATGGAACTTGTTAAACAAGAGTTACCTCCCCTCAAATTGTCTCCCTTTAACGTAAGTGTCAAGCCCGTACACAAACTGTTGACGTCCTTTTTACGTTAGTTCCACATTGACAAGGCAAACTAATGACAGATGGTAATTTATGGAGTTAATATTACTTCTTTTTTTTCTATTCCTTTTTTTCTCGAAAATGTTTCGTTATAAACTGTTATCTTTTTATTTAACTCGTCAATCGAGACTGTTCGTTTCGCAAAGCGCCATTTTTGTTATTGGACCAGCGTGTATTCTTTCGCTTCCAACAGCGGTCTCCTAGTTTTAAGAATATTTTTTTCTTATAGTTGATTTTTTTATATAATCATAAGCGAAATGTATAATAAAGAATTTTCGTGACCCTAAATATCTTTTTATTCTTTTGTTTTGTATTTTGTAATGCGAAACTACTTTGCAAGTCGCAGATATAAGGGATGGTGAACCGTCCCTGTGTGTTAGGTAGGGGGAATTTATGTTTCAAGGTTTTAAGGAATTGGTTGTGATTAAACCCAGAATGTTGCATTGCTCGACCTCTGAAATTCATCTTCATAAATTAATTTTTATGGAGGTATGATCGTATAAGTTAATGTCATGTAACACAAACACCTCTCAAGAAAAGACACGTTTGCTTTTTCATTGTGTTTTTAGGAAACTTTTAATATTGTCAATGTATGAAGGTCGATGTGTTCCTTCACAAGTTACCTCAACCAAAGTAAGGTAACAGATAATAATAAAATTGAATGTTTGAAAATATGTGCGTATATATTCACAGAGACAGCCTCATACTGACATTAGTCTCAGAAGGAACCAGTATCTTCTCGGGCCTGGTGACGTTTGCCACACTCGGGGTCATGTCACAGAAAACGGGTGTTCCCATTGAAACCGTTGTTTCCAATGGTAGGTGATTTCTTTTTCTTGTTAAAGGCATACATATTTTGACAGTACGCATTGTTAGGATAAAAATTAGATGTCACATAAATAAATCTGTTTATATGGTCAAAATCTTAACAAGGCTAAATATATCAAGCATAAACGTCATTTTGTTGAACTTTCCTATAAATTGACATACAAATAAACCATAACATTGCATATCATCGATAATGACGCCAAGGGCACATCTATCACGTTGAGGTCAAGTGTTTTGTATTTAAGCAAGTAGTCAGTGTCACTATACATAGTAAAGTAACTTGGAAACGGAGGAATCACTACCATCAGTTAATAACGCGTATGTCCTTCCATTGTCTTCGTGGCACTCGTCACAAACACATGCAAAAGTAAGTTAATTATTCAACTGAAAAAACACAGGAACATATACTTCAATTCAAAATAGGCAGTTACACCCGACACCATTTTGTCACTGATGCGTAAAAAATGGAAATGTCTCCGCATGTCTACCATACAATATTTTGAAAGTATTGCTGAGACATAGAATGTTGTAACCGTAATCAAACATGAATTCAAACCGTGGCACTTGAAAATAAAACTTTTTCTTGAAACTTTCCCGTTATAATGATCATTCTAGTCCTCCTGCTTTCTGATCTTATTTATGAAACATCGCCACTGAGCAGTACTGGTTTGATAGTAGACGCTCAAAAAATATAAATAGATCAATATCAAAGCTTGTTCTCAAACAGCTCCATGTGAGTACAGTGCATTAATATTTACTGTTCAATTTCATAATATTTACGTTTAGATTCAATTCGAGTAATCGTCGATTCTATTTTGATGTCACAGTCCTATTACAAAGACCAATGTGAACATGATCAATGGCGTTTCGTCATTTAGAAACTTAGATGACTTTCGTTCTTTGGAATACTACCATAGTAATCATCTTACCGAGGCAAGTGAGATAACTGACTATAAAAGTTCAGTTTCCACCCTTGCTGAACTAGGCTGGTATTATGGAGTTACATTTTGGCTGGACTAACGAGTCTATGCATAGTCCAATCAATATCGCGCAGCGAAATCGGAATCCGGTTTGTAAACTGTCATGCAGAGTTCGGTCGATTGCAGGATTTGCAAAGCATGTGCACCGCCAACTCGTTGTCGACAGATGTTTTCCAAATCTTTTAAAGTTTTTAATCAAGGTGCTCACGTAATTTGATGCACTTTGCGATGTAAGACCAGTTTTATCACAATATAGATCTTGATTGTCGACTAGTTCGTCTTGAGTGGGCGCCGCTATTTTGTTTGAAGCAAATGCAAGTGATACTCGAGGTGGAATCTGATTGGTCCATAGGAGAGGCATAGAAGGGACATAACTCGTAACAGCCAGTGGTGGCGCTACGATCGAGCCCTGGAATTCCAGCCAAGTTCGGCAATGGTGGAAACTGGACTTTTAAAGTCAGTTAACTCTCTTGCCTCGGGAAGATGCATAGCAATATATACCTTTCCATGTCGTTTGTGATTCTGTTCAGTACCTGGTGAAACCTGATTTTATTGAGTTGTATGTTTCTGTGAAAGGTCCGGGTTTGGGATTTATAATCTATCCAGACGCTCTGGCACAATTTCCGCTTCCTCAGCTGTGGTCATTCCTGTTCTTTCTGATGCTGCTGATGGTGGGTTTGGATTCACAGGTACTTTATATCAGAAGGAGTATTAGTTCACACAATGTTCACAGCACACCATGGCAGTTATAAAATGAGAGTGGTCCAAACTGGAAATGGCAAACAATGGTTCCATCACGGAGATTCCGAGTGGTTTTTGGTTTGGTTTGTTGTTTTACGCCGCACTCGGCAATATTCCAGCCAAATGACGGCGGTCTGTAAATAATCGAGTCTGGACCAGACACTCCAGTGATTAACATCATGAGCATCGATCCACGCAATTGGGATCGATGACATGCATCAAGAGACGCCTTTTATGACAAGCATAGTCACCTTTTACGGCAAGCATGGGTTGCTGAAGACCTATTCTACCCCGGATCTTCACGGGTCGGATTCCGGGTGAGAACAGGACCCCATCAATCTTTTCTGGTAGTAACCAAATGGATCAGTGGTCAGCCTCGGTGACTTGGTTGATTGTTTGACATCTCACCTTGACGGCGTAGTTCGTGAAGCACAATATAGATAACTGGAATGTCTGGTCCACATTCGATCATATACAGGACCGGTTGTACCAAAGCCTCATTAACTAATGGCTACATTAAACCCTAATGATACATTAAATTCTTAATGCACCATTAGCTAATGGCATCATTAAAATCGGTTGTATCAAACGTTCATCAGCATATCATTATCTAATGATGCCTTTATGTAAGTGTTTGCATTAACCTGTCCTAAAATTCGGGGTTTCCCCTAAATATTTCCCACAACTCCCTGACGTAAACATGTACGCGTTACTTCCGGTCATCTGTCAAAATAGCATCGTATCCACCTAAACCTAGGAATAGAAACAAGAATTTCGACAGCTCCGAAATTCGGCTGTCAGCCGAGTTGGTGGAGAAACACATCTTCATACTTAACAGTAAGTTGTGTAGCACCGTTACCCACGAAAGAAAAAATGCTGTTTGGGTAGACATAACGACCGAAGTTAATGCTCTTGGTGTTTGTCAGTGTACAACAAAAGAAATAAAAACAAGAAGGCCGAACATGCACAGGGCGGCCAAAAGGGAATTCAGCAACGGACATTCAGCAACAGACAGCTGGACGACTTGTGACTTTGAAGGGATGACGTTTATGCTCCATGCACAGGTTTTACAGTGACATTTGATTTGTTATTATAAGAATTTAGCACATTGGCTGTCACACACTGCTTGAACGTTGATAGAATGGTGGCCTTTCCTATTGACAATGGCAGGTTCGTTGCCTGATGGTGCCTGTATCCGTACATGTGTCCCATCGATACATCCGGTGACTCCAGGAAATCGAGATATATTGTAAAATTCCTTTCCCATGTCATCTATATTCCTCTCGGACGGCCAGGTAACAAACTTGGGCAACAAGAGACGCGATGGCAACCGTCCTAGCAACTTGTGAGGCTGTTGATTTGTCTATCCCTATTGTGTCGCCGTGATTTGCAGGAAACTTCCACTTGCAACGAACACGCAAAACTGTTCTCTTTAGTGTGCAGACACATTTAGTTTAAGTCATTAGAGTAACCCCCCTTTATTAAATCGATCATGGCTGACTTCACCAAGTTGAAAACGTATCTTTCTGGAGTGAAGTGAAAAGGATCAATGAATTTACATTACTTCCAATTGTCAAATATATTTACAAGGTTGGTATCATTAGGCTGCATATATGACTGTATCAACACACGTGTCAGTGAGCAGACCAAGGCAGAACTGCGTATCATTCATTGTAAAGATTGCCGCTTTAAATTTTAAATTTTAAATTCTGAACAAGCTCAACACGTTTGTACACATACCTGAAGCAAGTCAAAAACTTTTCTTTTTTCTGAAAAAAACGCTCAACCTGAAACTGAGCTTGGAGACTAAAAGTGTACACAATAACTACTGATGACCTGATGCTTAAAATCAGTGATCAGTCGATCATCTGCAAGCAGTAATGTCTCAGACGGGAAAAAATCTGACGGCCGTGTTAAACCACATAACAAACTCAATATCCTATAAGCTGTACCTAACATTGAGATTGAAATCCAAAGTATAATAGAACTTGGTAATACTTATGTTAATGAACATATTGCTGGGTTTCAACAAGCTAAACGATGAAGTGTTGTTCTTCCAGTTCATGGGTACCGAAGTCGTTATTACTGCTCTTATTGATCAGTATCCGCGGCATGTGGGCAAGAGGAGGATGCTTCTAACAGGAGGAGTCTGCCTGATATTATTTCTCGCTGGAATCATATTCTGCACACAGGTGACTATGCCTTTCAGTTGAACAATGTAAGAGGCCAACCAATAATATTTGAGCATAGCTGTCTATTCAGTGACTCCGGAATAACAACGTGAAAGCACGTAGATCCAGACGATTGAACAATGTTATAGGAGAACCAATAATATTTCAGCATAGTGGTCGATTCAGTGACTCCGGAAAAGCAACGTGAAAGCACGTAGATCCAGATGATTGAACAAGGTTATAGGAAAACCAATAATATTTCAGCATAGCTGTCGATTCAGTGACTCAGGCATAGCTATGACAAAGAACGTTGGGTAGATGCTGCAATTATGAAATAGTAGCAGTGGTTGGTTAAAATAGTAGCAGTGGTTGGTTAAAGTAGTAGCAGTGGTTGGTTAAAATAGTAGCAGCGGTTGATTAAAATAGTAGCAGCGGTTCGTTAAAATAGTAGCAGTGGTTCGTTAAAATAGTACCAGTGGTTGGTTAAAATAGTAGCAGCGGTTGGTTAAAATAGTAGCAGTGGTTGGTTAAAATAGTAGCAGTGGTTGGTTAAAATAGTTGCAGCGGTTGGTTAAAATAGTAGCAGCGGTTGGTTAAAATAGTAGCAGTGGTTGGTTAAAATAGTAGCAGTGGTTCGTTAAAATAGTAGCAGTGGTTGGTTAAAATAGTAGCAGCGGTTGGTTAAAAATCACGGTAACAGTGGAGTGAACCCTGTTGGATATATAACGCCAATTTTAAGATCGTTGTTGATCGGAAAATGCACTTGAAACAGCAGAAGAGGGAATGACTGTAGTAGTAGTGGTAGTGGTAGCAGCAGTGGAACTAGAAATGGCAGCGGCGGTCGTGTCCGTAATGGAAGTAGTATATATTTCTGAAAGGACGATATAGACTTCTTTACTTTCATTTCCAGGGAGGGCCGTACATGTTTCAGCTGGTAGACTGGTATATAGTATCTCTCGGGCCCTTGGTGATATGTACACTGGAGTGTGTTGTCGTGTCATGGATATATGGTGCGTATAACAATTGTATCAGTTATAAGTGGGTATGCTAACGCTTAACCCGGCAACCCGTGAAGATCCGGGGAGGAATTGGTCTTCAGCAACCAATGCTTGCTGTAAAAGGCGATTTTGCATCTCGTTAGAGACGACTAACAGGATCGGGTGGTCAGATCAGGCTTGCTGACTTGGTTGATGCATGTCATCGATCCCAATTGCGTGGATCGATGCTCATGATATTAACCACTGGATTTTCTGGTCCGGGCTCGATTATTTACCGATACTGGAACATATAGCTGGAATATTGCCGAGTGCGGCGTTAAACAACCAAACAACTAACCAACCAACCAAACCGGCAACCTAAGCGTGTCGCCAGAGATGATCAAATGGATCATGTGGTCATGAGTTTGTTGGTTGCGTGTGTCTGCGTCGATCTTTGCTCATAATAGTAATCACTGGATGGTCTGGTCAGAAAATCGATTATGTACAGGCCACCAAAAGAAAGTTGAACTATTGATGAGTGTGGCGTTTTTCAGCAAACATATACAAATGTCTCGAATGTACAATGCCAGTCTTCAAGCTGGACATATGTTTCTGGCAGGTATAAGAAGAATCAGTAGAGACGTTGAGATGATGATTGGCAAGCCACTGTCGATGCCTATTAAGATCCTATGGGCATTTGTAACGCCGGCAATCTTGATAGTAAGTACAATACAGTTTCGGAAAGCGGAAAGGGAATTGACTATTTGAATGTTATTAAACGATATAAGATTATTGATATACCTGATGTTGAAGTTCAACATCTTGATGGCATAACCTTGTTTTGATTTTGCCAATCCGAGGAGAAATTCCGATTCATATGCATAAGGAAAGAGATCTGCAAGAAGCGGAGCACAGTTCGTCCCCAATGAGGATGCCTACTTCTTGACTAAATGTGAAGTCCACACATTTTACATTAATGGTATCCGTGAGGAAGTCCAACATTTCACCTGCTTCTCAGTAACTTCATAGGGGGAAGAATAGGTCTTCAGCAACCCATGCTTGTCGTAAGAGGCGACTAACGGGATCGGGGTGGTCAGGCTCGCTGGCTTGGTTGATGCATGTCATCGATCCCAATTACGTAGAGCGATGCTCATGATATCAATCACTGGATTGTCTGGTCCAGACTCGATTATTTACCGACCGCCGTCAACATAGCTGCGGCGTTAAACAACAAACAAACATTGACTTCATACGACATTTGCTTTCATTTTTGTCAAATTGTCCTTAACCTTTAAAGACAGAGATGTAATTATGTTATGGTCACTCCATTTCGTGACACATTCCCCATGGTTTAAGGCATGATCGTTTTTTTCCGTAAGTGTGTCATGTGGGATAGTTTTCTCATTTTCATTTCGTTAGATATCTTGAGTGCGTGAGTTGGGTTTAACGCCGCTTTTAACAGTATTCCAGTAATATATGGCATGTCAGCTAAATGTGGGAGAAAAGCCCGACATAATGCAGGTCTCAGATGTTTACCACTTGGGTGAAACCCACCAGCACGGATATGGTACTGACAAACCTAGAAACATAATTGGGGCGAACCGGGATTCGAACCCACGATCATAGGTTTCTGGCATGCCCAAGGGACGCAACTCTGCACAGCGAATCGCGGCGCCTTAGACGACTAGGCCACCCGTGCCCCCTTAGATATCTTGAATATGAGGTGCAGAAGTTTAATATACACGTTTCTACGTTAAAGAAAGAAACTGCAGAAATCTTCACACATTAGCTGAAACTTTAATCAATTATCTATTAAATTCTATCCATTTTTTTAACCAATAATCGTAGAACAGAAGGATAAAATATATGTGAAATAAATATGTTTTAAAACATTGCAATAACATCGCGACTTTCGGATGTCTCACTTTAAGAAACAAGGTTAAACATTTTTCCGCGCCATGGATACTCGGATTGTGCATGTGTACCACTGTCAAAGTCACATCATGATATCTCTGTTTCATGTTCAGATCACTTTCATCCTGACGCTTCTGCGCTACCAACCACCGACCTACGGCAAGTACGAGTTTCCCAGCTACGCCAGTACAATCGGCTGGTTCCTTGCAGTGCTGCCCCTCCTACCCATACCTGTCTATATGGTCATTGCCGTCAGGAAGCACATGGCGACCAATTCCCTGAAAAAGGTAACAGACACCTATTCTTAAATTATTTTTATAATAATTATAACACTAATAATAAGCGAAAGGCCATATCAAATCGGCCCAGACTCAGTTTTACAACTATCTGGCGAATATGCGGACCTCCGTTACGAAATGTAAGGCTTCCCATAGTTCTTGATGCTTTCGGTTTGACCAATCTGCTGACTGACACTGGGGGGGTGCCGTGATTTGGTGCCAGGAACACAGCTCTTCTGACGAAAATGTCAGTCTACCATAAAACGGTTTGAAAGCTTTACCGAGGCATTGAATATTGTAACCTTGATGAAACATATTTTTAACAAACGTCGAATGAATCGGGGCATTCTCACTGTTTTCGCTTATTGTCTCCATGTTATTTCATTTTGACCTGTATGTGGCCATTTCATAATATTTGGAGGGGGGACTTTTTATTTCACATGTGCTCTTTCTGTCCTTCACCTTTTGACTTCTCGGAAATGGCTAATTGGTTTTTCGATGGTTGCTGTTCACGACAATTGATGTAGCATTTGAATTGATAATGTTTTATCCTCTGAATCTTTCTAATGGTACTCTGGAACCAAATATGTACATTCCGTTTAAGGCAACTTACTTACTACCAATGTAAATTTACTATGAGGCACATCGACTGTTACTGTTTTTGTTATGCCTATTTTGTGCAAGATGAAAGGTGTATGTTGTTTTCTCAGATTATTGGTGTTGACATTGAATGCATGAACTGTTTGAGATGCTAAAAAACATGACGTGAGAGAACCTGAGCGCTGGCATAAAATCAACAGCATGGCGACCAGAAGAGTTCCTGCAAGAGTAATTCTTTGTCGATCAATAATAACTGAAATAAATGTATGTACGTCTCTCTGTAACATCATGATTTTTTGAAATTGTTATTCATAACATTGGTGGACATTTCATTGTGTGTATTAGTGACAAAATTGCTAAAGTATGGAGTTTATGACGACCTGAGAGCATATGACATGTCATCAACCTCCTTGACCTCAAACCTGCTAATTGGAGTCGATTTCTCAATGTCCGTGATGACAATTGCTTGTGGTGCATCCAGATCTCCTGTAGAAAGCTGTTTGTTGCAAAGGCTTGTCCCCTAACCATGCGGAAGGGGTCGCGATCATCGCGTGCTGTGACGTCACGCGGGGGCCATCCAGACCTTGGACGGTCTTTCCCCTCATTAGCTTGTCAATATTTCCATACCACTCTGCTTTTAACCAATCTCCGATCTGTACGTTGCTTAGAAATGCTAAAAACTGAGTGGACACGTTGAACGCTGCGAAAGTGGAGACTTTAATACTTGTTCCATTTTCCAAACTATTTACAGGTGAAAATTCAATTCGCCATGGGGGGCACGGGTGGCCCAGTCGTCTAAGGCGCCGCGATTCGCTGTGCAGAGTTGCGTCCCTTGGGCACGCCAGAAACCTATGATTTAGGGTTCGAATCCCGGTTCGCCCCGATTATGTTTCTAGGTTTGTCAGCAGCATACCCGTGCTCGTGGGTTTCGCCGAAGTGGTAAACGTCTGAGACCTGCATCACTTCGGGCTTTCCTCCCATTTAGCTGACACGCCGTGATATAACTGGAATATTGTTAAAAGCAGCGTTAAACCCAACTCACTCACTCACTCACTCACTCACTCAATTCGCCATTGTTAAGGAACCTATATGCCTTTGTAAAATACGAGTGTTGCTTTCGTCCACAGAGTATAAATCTTGCCCTGAGGCCTGATGATAAATGGGGTCCAGCGAACTACAGAAACAGGCAGGATTACATGATGAATCAACAACATCACGACCAACTCTCAAGACTACCCTCAATGTGCAGTTCAAACAATTAGGCGTAACATTGTTTCAGCCCAGCCTTCATTATTGATAGTATACGCAAATAATATACGCGACAATGATAATACACTCCAAACCGCAACCCCTCTCAAATACACCACAGTAATCATAAATATATTAACAATGATAAACACTATAAAAATATTCATTCATTATTATGTTGGTGGTGTGGATACACGTATGCTTACTTGTAAACTGCTTTGTTGTGTGTATTGCTTACGCTTTAAATAGGTTTAGCTGAAGACAAATAATGTGAGTGAGTAGTGTTTAACGCCACTTTGAACAGTATTCCAGTTATTTCAGGGCGTGTCAACTTGATGTGGAAGGAAAGCCCAAAGTGATGCAGGTCTCAGATGTTTACCACCTCGGTGAAACACATGGGCAGAGTATGATGCTGACAAACCTAGAAACATCATCGGGGCGAACCAGGATACGAACCCACAATCATAGGTTTCGGGCGTGCCGCAACTCTGCAAAGTCAATTGCCGCACCTTGGACCACTGTGCCCCACATGTGCAATGATCTATGACTGGTACCGGGCGGCAGTGTTATATAATTTCAAAAAGATTTAATCTCTTTTCACCTCCCAAGGAGGCTCTTATCATTAGCACAGGGCGGCCAATATGTGAATGTTTATGAATTTGAAAGAAGCCAAATTAAGAAGAAAATAACCATACTGTGTTTCAAATATAGACCTAGGTTACCTGTATATTTAACCTCGCAACGTGATGCTTCGAATGTGAAATTTAGCCCAGCTCTCCATGTAAAACACAGTATGTGACATTGCGACGTAAAATGTATGACGTAGAGAAAAAGCTATGACTTGAAATAACGCTCTTAATCGAGGTATATCCTGTCTTTCCATCTACTTTGAATTTGGTAGTAAATGCAGTCTGTATTATGAAACAAATAACTGTATATTTCAACAAAATCAAAATGCGTTCGGGCATGGATTGACAAAGAAGCACTGTCTTTTCAATTTCCACCGCTTCCACGGTGATGTGTCCGTCAAATAATAGGTGGTGGTAATGTTTTGAAACCTCATATTGGCCAATCAGAATCGAGTATTTTCTACAGTCATGATAGAATTGTGTTCAATATGTTGTGTTTGTGTTACACTGCCCGGGGATTCCTTGTCGGGTGTATATGTCAGATCATTTAGCAAGTTACACTATTATTTAGTGCCTTTTAATTGTGGTGTGCTGTTATTTGTTATTTGCTTTTAACTCTCAAATAGTCTGTGTTTTCCTCAACAAATAAAGCTTCATAAAAAAAACATGCTTGTTCACTCACTTGTTTTTGCTGAGGTAAGGAGGGGTGGGGTGGGGGTTGGGGGGAGTAGTAGGAGGAGGCTGGGATTTTGTATAAAGTCTCATTATTTTCTTCTTCCACCGTAGTAGTGGATAACAATGTACTTTGGGTTTTTTCGGTTTGAGGGAACATTTCCTTCAAAGCCATCGCAAGGCTTCATTTTCAAAAAGTTTTATGTTAGATTGACATTTTCAAATTTGACGCATCAGTTGAAAAAATAATGTCCGATGCAATTCCCTATTTTTACTTGAACCATATGTTCCCGTGTCTTTTCAGGTGAACAATTGACTTGTCTTTGCAAGTGTTTGTGACGGGTGCCATCGGCGTGGCAGTATATGCTCACCTTTTCGCGAACACCTGGATTCATAACCACATGCTCATGATATAGTCGGAATCGTACAAACAAACAAACAAACAAACAAACTTCCGCTCCTTCCGCTCCTTCCGCTCTCCGGGCAGACGCTCTACCATTAGACCACGGAGGCGGTCCCAAACTTCTAAGAAAATGGTACACAATTTGTATAATCTTCAGTTATGATTACAATCATTCCACTTAAGTAATACAGTATCGACTTTGCCGCTATAAAGGAGCTGTTAACTCTCTATCATTACAGTCTGTGCATGGATTCGCCACTCAGACTGAAGTTACACGAATTGAAAACTTGGGCTGTTACACAGGAGGGTGCCATGGAAATATGACAAAGCTGTGACTGCTCACTATTTGAATTAATAAATCTCCGAAGTAGAATGGTTCCTCATCCAGCTAAGTTTGTACAAATATGTGCAGTTATTTTATTGACAAAATAAACTATGGCATTCATTTCATTGGTCACTGTTGTTTATATATGTTACGGGATATGCACATGTAAATAGGCATGCTCGATCAAACAGTCACAGTATTTACATATTGGTTATGATTGACCCGAATCAAGACGTTTTTACCAAAATGTCCAGGGTGATGTTTCATATTCTGCACTTTCTGCCTGGACACATCTTCCGTTCGAGCTCGTCACAGAACAGTTGGTTGGTTGTTGTTTAACGCCGCACTCAGCAATGTTCTAGCTATAGGACGGCGTCTGTAAATAATCGAGTCTCGACCAGACAATCCATTGATTGATATCATGAGCATCAATCCACGAAATTGGGATACGATGACAAGCGTCAACCAACTGAAGTCAGCGAGCCTGACCACCCGATCACGTTAGTCGCCTCTTACGACAAGTGTAGTCGCCTTTTACGGCAAGCATTGGTTGTTGAAGACCTGTTCTACCCCGGATCTTCACGGGTCTCCTTAATTTCAAGCTCAATTGGGGTACATCAGTGGAATTGGCTATTTTATGGCTTCTGGACGATATCAGATCATCGATATTCCTGAAGCACAAGTTAAACGGCCACATTACCTTGTGTTGACATTGCCAATCCGAGCAGAAATTCTTATTCAGCAGAAAGAGGACCGAAAATGGTGCCCATGGGGATGCCTACTTCTTGCCAAAATGTCTTACCCCAAAATTTTACATAGATGTCATCAATGAGGGGGGCCGGTGTCGGAGGCTCAAATGACTCCCCAGGCTCAGATGACTCTAGAGTCAAAATTAGGGGGAGTCGTTTGAGCCTACTACACCGGCATTACACATGTTTAAGAAATCTGTATTTAGGATATAGATTTTAGCCAAAATGGTCAGTTTTTTCTCTATTTTCTGTGATATATGACGGATATTTTATGTTGTCCTTGAAATCATACTTTTAGTATTGTTCTTTATATGCACTTGCTGGAAAATGTATCAACTGGTTCTCGCCATGAAAAGCTGCAACATTGCTGATGCGGCATAAAACAATGTTTATTCATCGTTCATTCTGAAGGTTAGGACTGTTTTCAGAATTTCCCCTCCCTGCATACGTCATACAATTAATGTTTCGATATTCATAAATGCTTGAAACATAAAATTGAGTGAGTATGATTTACGCCGCTTTTAGCAATATTACAGCAATATCACGGCGGGGGACACCAGAAATGGGCTTCAAACATTGTAACCATGTCGGGAATCAAACCCGGGTCTTCGGCGTGACGAGCGAATGCTTAAACCACTAGGCTACCCGACCGCCCCTGAAACATAAAAAAATGTTTATTACGTAATAACAATCGTGATACAACCATGTATTAGGTGTTATCGTGAATCACTACCTATGAGGAACACATAGTATTCACGCCTTCTCAGACAACAATAACGAGTATGATACCCCTTGTGCTTCGACCCGTGAAGATCCGGGGTAGAATAGGTCTTCAGCAACCCATGCTTGTCGTAAGAGGCGACTAACGGGATCGGGTGGTCAGGCTCGCTGACCAGGTTGATGCATGTCATCGTGTCTCAATTGGGTGGATCGATGCTCATGATATCAATCACTGGATTGTCTGGTCCAGACTCGATTATTTACAGACCGCCGTCATATAGCTGGAATATTGCTGAGTGCTGCGTTAAACAACAAACAACAACAAACAGCATTGGCCGAACGATAGCTTCCAAAAGTGGGAGAGATATAACAGTCGGTATTAGGAGAAAAAAACAGATGACGTGAGGATTGTGAGAATATGCGGTAAATATCAAACTTAACCCACCTGTTCGTTAAATTGAGTTGTCCAACATTCCGAGGTCGGATTCTATTCAGGGAGTCATCATTTTTTAGACACAGATAATTTTAGAGCTTTTACATTTTAGTAACATACTTAAAGAGGCTATACATAGTATTGATATCTCATATAAGAAATAATCGACTCGTGGTCGTTGTTTATCGTACAATAAAACACTGCAGGGGGAATAAACAATGAGGTTGTTTACTCGATCAATGTTGTTTGCCTCTGTTGACTGGGAGTAGCAGAGTGATATTCAAAAGCAGCTTTGAGCATCTGTGACATTTTGGTTTAAGAATGTGAGTGAGTGAGTGAGTTGGGTTTAACGCCGCTTTTAACATTATTCCAGTTATATCACGGCGTGTCAGCTTAATGCGGGAGGAAAGCCCGAAGTGATGCAGGTCTCAGACGTTTACCACTTCGGTGAAACCCACGAGCACGGGTATGGTGCTGACAAACCTAGAAACATAATAGGGGCGAACCGGGATTCGAACCCACAATCATAGGTTTCTGGCGTGCCCAGGGACGCAACTCTGCACAGCGAATCGCGGCGCCTTAGACGACTGGGCCACCCGTGCCCCCTTTAAGAATGTGAAAGCTGAACCTCGAACTTATATTATTTCAGGGAAAGGTTTTTACCGTCTTCAAGAATGATGTGGATTTGCAGATCACTTTCATTCTACTGGTTGTTTACAGCTTCTCTGGACTTTGACTCATCGATTAGGGAAGATGTGTCCACTAACCATGTCAAATACCCTGGATACCCTGCATATGGCATCCAGCAGTAACGGCTATGGTGTCCTGCGTTAGTGACCTATGATTTGATGGTGGTAGTGGTGGTGAAATGGGGTTTAACGTCGCGTCCAAGATTATTGCACGTATGTAGCGACGTGTTTGTGTGTGTGTGTGTGTGTGTGTGCGTGTGCATGTGCGTGTGCGTGTGCGCTCGTGCGTTTGTGTCCGGACTGATGCCGATTTATAGTGCCAGCCCACTGTCATACCATGCTGCAGCTTAACATGAATACCCCACTCAGACACAGTATTCTGACCAGTCCTTGTTTTAGCCCCTTAATGCCGAGCGCCAGACAGGGTAACAACAAATACCATCTTTTAACGTCTTTTGGTACGACGCGGCCGGGGATCGAACCCCGAACCTTCCGCTCTCCGGGCGGGCGCTCTACCACCAGACAACGGATTTAATTTGATGTTCTAGTGCATAAGGCGGTATTTTCCTGTGGGCATTTAAATTGGCTCTGGGTTTTTCAGTATGATAAGTGTTCGACAGATATACTGGGTGTTTTCAAAAAACAAATGTTAGTAGGAATAATTGTTCGGCACTTTTTCTCAGAGAAAAACTTTGTATATCTTTGATTAAAAGATCCACCCACCACCCCAGAATATCAAATGTTTGATTCTGTTATACCATTCGACATTAATGAAGCATTCTTTGTTTTACGCCGGGTGTCGTGCTCATATACCAGAAGGAGTATAATATGGGCTCCACACAATGTACACATGTGGGGAATAAAACCTGGGACTTCGACGATACAGCACTTCAACCACTACCAGGACTACCAGGAATGACACATAGTTATGCAAAACCTTTGATATATAAAAGCGACAAACCCTTTTCATAGTCATACGTAATCTCGATTGTTCGATAGTGCGATTCCGACTATATCATGAACATGTGTTAATAAAGTAGCCAAAAGGTCACAAGCACATATGGGGGCACGGGTGGCCCAGTTGTCTAAGGCACAGCGATTCGCAATGCAGAGTTGCGTCCCTTGTGCACGCCAGAAACCTATGATTGTGGGTTCGAATCCCGGTTCGCCCCGATTATGTTTCTAGGTTTGTCAGCACCATACCCGTGCTCGTGGGTTTCACTGAAGTGGTAAACGTCTGAGACCTGCATCACTTCGAGCTTTCCTCCCATTAAGCTGACATGCCGTCATATAACTGGAATACTGTTAAAAGCGGCGTTAAACTCAACTCACTCACTCACAAGCACATAACAAGCCTGTTGTTCACAGGAACAAACACAGGAGCATGTCTACCACGTCGTTAAAGCTTTACTTGATCCTTAAATGTTGTAACCTTGATCAAACTACTTTTGAGCAACTGTTGTATGACGTTCTGTGAAATCTTAGAAAGAGTATGTTCGATTGTATCTCAAAAGTTGTGAAATGTGGACAGCAAAGGCCGAAATTGCTGGAATATTGTTCGACAAAAAGTTGACTACTGGAAAGAATAAGTTAAACAAAACCCAAAGCAGATGTACCACGTATGTTGATTTATTCACAAGTCATCATAAACAGCGACGCAAATCCCTTTGTCTCGAAAATTAGAAATGGGCTCTTTGTCCCACTTAACCATACACCAGAAATGAAGGAAAGATATGTGGGTATAGCTCTGTCTTCTAGGATGAGGAGAGGAAGATGTTCTGGTACACAACATGCAATACTGAACACGTCCGCTAGAGCTCAATTTGAACAGCTTATTTGTATGTATGGTAATATACTGTAGCGGTAGGGAGCTAGTGGAAGATGGATGTTACAATTCTTTGTCATGACACGGTGAATATTTTGTCTTGGTGTCATTACTGATAATTGGTGAAAATGTACATTGGTTTCAAAATTTTCAAGGTACAACCAAGTAGAGAATTCTTTATTGAAGCATTTCGCTTAAAGAAGAATGCTAGTGTTGTGTCTTTAAATGTGACCTTTCATTCGTATTGTTACATTTTACAATGCATGTTTTTATTTTCTAATTCAATATTGTTGACATTAAGAAAGGATTTGTCATCCAGCTGTTTTGTCCTTGGCCATTGCCAGAGTTGAATCTACCCATTCCGGATCCCATTCCCATTCCCATTCCCATTCCGGATCCCATTCCGGATCCCATTCCCATTCCCATTCCCATTCCGGATCCCATTCCCATTCCCATTCCCATTCCGGATCCCATTCCCATTCCCATTCCCATACGTCGGTTTGGATTTAAGCCGTTCATCATCCACATCGTTTCTGGGTTGACATCGATCATATTTGGGGGAAGGCCGAACATGTTCATCATTTGGAAATCCATGTATGTATCAAGATTTCCATTAAAGAGGAACATGTTTGCCAAATTGTTCATTGGCTGCTGCTGGGCCCATTGGTTCTGCTGACCCCACTGGTTTCCTTGTTGACCCCACTGGTTTTGTGGCTGCGCCCATTGGTTCTGCTGACCCCACTGGTTTTGTTGCTGACCCCATTGGTTTTGTGGTGGACCCCATTGGTTTTGTGGCTGACCCCATCGGTTTTGTGGTGGACCCCATTGGTTTTGCCGTGGTTGTTGAGGCCATGGGTTGTTGGACATTTGGAACTGTTGGTTTGGAAACGGCTGCTGCGGTCCGAAATTATTCACTTGATTAGGATAGGCCATATTTGGTGCCTGTTGAGATTGTTGTTGTTGTTGTTGCTGCTGTTGTTGTTGCTGCTGCTGCTGTTGCTGCTGCTGCTGCTGTGGTGGGGCAGCGTAAGGCTGTTGGGCGTTTGTTTGTACAGCAGTGGGCGCTGCTGATACGGTATTGGTGCCCTGTTGGGTGGCTGGGTTGGCATTGGCATTGATAGGGTAATTCTGTCCAAATCCTGTCAATGAAAGAATCCAACATGTTAGGCTGATTGGGGGTCAATGCCGCGTTGAACGGCGTTTCGAGGTATTGTGAGTGACGCTTGAAACTTTTCATCATAATGTTGGGAATATCCATCTCGTGGAATGCACATGTTCTTCATACTGACATGTCGTATGCTAAAACAGGTATAAAACTTTCACGATCGATGATTTTATATCATTATAATTTCTTTTTCTGTCGACAAAATGAGTCTTAGCCAGCGACGCTAAACACGAAGATATAGGCGACTTGAGATTAACCTGATGAGTATGCTGATCGTAATGATAAAAGTAGAACTGTTTGGAAGTAACGCCGAAATCGCTTTATGGCCCAGATGGTAGAACATTATCGATTCACGAACATTAGTTGACGTTATATCGTAGTGTCCTCAACATGAAAGCAGTGTGATGTCATATCACCAAACCAATCAGCATTGAGAATCGCTAAAGTGCACATATACTTTGGTACGTTATTTTACTCTTGTTTTCTGTCGTAATGTTTGTTTGTTTGTTTGTTGTTAAAGGCCGCACTCAGCAGTATTCCAGCTATATCACGGCGGTCTGTAAATAATCGACTCTGGACCAGACAATCCAGTGATTGATATCATGAGCATCGATTTACGCAATTGGGATCGATGACATGCATCAACCAAGTCATGGAGCCTGACCACCCGATCCCATGAGTCGCTTCTCACTACACACACAGTCGCCTGTTACGGCAGGCATGGGTTACTGAATACATATTCTACCTCGGATCTTCACGGGTCTATCATTATGACCAACACATGAAAGTCCTTACCTGGTGCGAGGTTGGCTGTAAAGCACAACAGAACGCATAGTGTTGACAGCATGGTCTTCATTGTAACTGTAGGCCCTTTCTGTCAACTAAAAATGAAAAGTGAAAAAGGATGTCAAGAAAACACTTTTAAACAATAAACGGTATTTTCTAAAAGGGGCATGCAAAATTACACATCATAAAAAGAATCATGTGGTCTTAAATACAAAACTATAGCTGTGCCCTAGCACAGGGTTGATATCAAACTTTCAGTCGGAACTATGTATCCACATTGTGGCAAAGTCAAGGTTACTCAAAATTCAACATTCATGTGTAACTGAATACACCCATTTACTTTGAATACTTTGATGTATACAAGAACAAAAAATATACATATACTTAATGTCACGGTTTCGAAAGTTTCATTTTTTAAGGTTAAATTGGTTAATAAATGTACTGCAAATTTACTAAGGATATATGGATGAACAACTTCTTTATTACAATTAGGAGTGCATTTCGGTGTAGGTTCTAACCCCGTTATCAAGCAAGTTATCAACTTTATCAATGGTTACACAATCCCGGACGGGACTCAACCCCAAAAAAGTACGAGAATCTGTACTTTACTAAGAAAGTGTTATCCTAAATACAACATTTGTTACATTTGACCACTTTCTAAATGGCATTGTGTGTTCATAGCTTTCGGCCATGGGAGCCGTGCCAATTTACACTTGTCAGAGGGGTACTCAAAGTATGTGATCTAGACTACCAGTTGTCGGACTTTCTTTTGTGGAAGCCTCGGTGACTGAGTGGGTTAGATCGCTGACTTTGTGTGCTGGCGATTAGGTGCCTCACTCTGGCTAGTGTGGGTTCGAATCCCGGACGGGACTCAACCCAAAAAAGTACGAGAATCTGTACTTTACTAAGAAAGTGTTATTCCAAATATAACATTTGTTACATTTATCAATGGTGTTAGAACCCACACCGAAACGTCGCTCCCAGAAGTTGTTCATCCTTATATCTTATCCTAACTTAGTACTCCAACTTCTAAATGCCTCTCAAAAAAGTTACTGCAAATTTAGAAAGTTGTTTTTAAAACATTCAGATTTATTATACTGCCTTTTGTAAAGACAATTATCTTTTAGTTTTTGTTTGAAATTTGATACTAGCTACTGCTTTGTAATAATTTATCTTTTAGCATTTGTTTAAAATTTGATACTAGCCAATGCTTTGCTAGAATTCGTCTTTTAGGATTTGTTTGAAATTTATTACAAAGGATAAATAGCACCATTCTGCTAGATGACCGGTACCTAAAAGATCACTTCAGTGGAATTTTGCTTGATTCCCGGTACCCAATAAATCACGTCAGTGGAAACCATGCTAGATTCCCGGGACCCAATATACCATTACCATCGAGACATGCTAGATCCCCGGTACTCTCTAGATCACATCCGTGGAAAAATGCTAGATTCCCGGTACCCCAAAGATCACTTCCGTGGACACATGCCAGATTCCCGGTATTCACTAGATCACTCTAGTGAAATATGTTGGATTCCAGGTTCCTAATAGATCACTTCAGTGAAAATATGTTGGATTCCCTATACCTAATAGATCACTTCAGTGAAAATATGTTGGATTCCCCATACCTAATAGATCACTTCAGTGAAAACATACTGGATTCCCGGTACCCAATAGAACGATTCAGTGGCAAAATGTTATCGCATACCCTATCGTTTCTATCCCATAGCGTTATCAGGGACCGGTAATTCAATATTCTAGAGGAGAATTTACATGCATTTGCATGTGTTTGTGACGGGTGCCTCCGGTGGGGCAGGATACGCTCACCTTTTCGAGAAAAAATTGGTATCATCACTATTTTTATAGTGATTCATAAACACATGCTCGTGATATAGTCGGAATCGTACAATCGACTTCGATTTCATTTTAATATGAAAAGGGTTTTGTTGCTTATATTTAGAGAAAGACATATATTTTTGAACCCACAACTAATGTTTCCATGACCTATTCTTTGACGAATGCGTTTTTTGTAAGGCTTGAGGCAACATTCCATTGCGTCCCTTGTGTGCGTACGGGTCGTATGATCCAATTCGCCCTGATTATGATGGCTTGTCATTCCCTTACCTTCTGGCCACATCGAAATGTTACATATCTACGACCTGTATCATTACTGTTTTAAACGTAAAACACAAGTCCATCAGTCACCACTCGAGTGGTAACAATACTTATATTGTATCATATCATGGAGACGTCGTCAAGAAACACTGGCTCGTGAAGAACCGGGTTAGAATTGGACTTCAGCAACCCACGCTTGTCGTAACGGGATAGCGTGGCCAGGCTCGCTGACTTGGTTGATGGATGTCATCGTATACCAATTGCGGAGATCGATGCGCGTGATGATAATCACGGGATTGTCTGGTTCTGATTCAATTATTTACAGACCGCCGTTATACACCTGGAATATTGCTGAGTGCGGCGTTAAACAACAAACAAACAAACAAACAAACAAACAAGAAACAATTGTCCGGATTGAAAGCCTCGATAGATCCATTTCTTCATGGACTGGAATAATACATTTTTCAAACAGTTTTGCAAAATGGCTTGAAAATGCAATTTACCTACGGTTATGCGGAATGGGTTGCACATAATGCATTGTGCAATTGGTTCCGAAAACATAACCAGGATATAGTGAGTGAGTGAGTTTGGTTTTACGCCGTTTTTAGCAATATTCCAGCAATATCAGAAAAGGGGTTCACACATTGTTCCCATGTCGGGATTCGAACCCGGGTCTTCGGCGTGACGAGCGAACGCTTTAACCACTAGGCTACCCGACTGCCCCAACCAGGATATAGACTGAAGAATATACCGCTTGTTACAGTTGATGGATCACAAATAAAGAGGATCTCATCCCTCCACACATTGTATGCTAACCATATTCGCGAACGCCAGGGGTCATCACTGATTTTCAGCGATCTATTCATAACGGTCTACGGTCACGGGATGGCGCCATATATACGTCATGTTGTTTTCGAAGGACCAACCCCTTATTAGAGGGGTCGCCTCGTGGCTAAAGCCTACCCTCTTCACGTCGCAGACCATGGTTTCATTTACAACATAGGTATAATGAGCGACGCCCATTCTTGATGTCACCATGTGATAGTATTGAACTGTTGATAAAATCAAAGTAAATCCCGATTAGCTCGCTCTCTCTCTCTCTCTCTCTCTCTCTCTCTCTCTCTCTCTCTCTCTCTCTCTCTCTCTCTCTCTCTCAGAACAGAACAGAGCTCCATTACGCTCAGGCCGAAACCTTCGGCATATGAGGTACCAATGACACATATATATAGTTAGTGATTGAGGATCCCGGTTCGCCCCGATTATGTTTCTTGTTTTGTCAGCACCATATCCGTGCTCGTGGGTTTCACTAAGACCTGCATCACTTCGGGCTTTCCTCCCACATTAAGCTGACACGCCGTGATATAACTGCAATACTGTTAAAAGCGGCGTTAAACCCAACGGGCTTTCCTCCCACATTAAGCTGACACGCCGTGATATAACTGCAATACTGTTAAAAGCGGCGTTAAACCCAACACACTAACACTAACTAGTGATTGAGGATATGAGTTCAGAAGGAAGATTGTATAAGTTTCATTATTAGGCTACATTATTTACATAAATTCTTCAATACAGATAATTATGTCATGACAAAAGTGCTGGAAATTGTAAAATACTCTGTGTTAATAAATATGTATTCGTTAAAGACAATTTTCTTTCTTTTGTAAAATATGTACATCTAAAAATATAATGAAATTCTTCCGCAATATCATCGGTACAATACAATTTACATTTTCTATCATATCAGAATCCATCAACTCAGCAGTTAAGAACGACTGAACCGTTTCCATTTTCATAACAATCTCTGATAAAAGGAGAGCCCGTCCTGAAAGAGCTGCACAGGCTACCTGTGAGACTCAGGATCATGTTCAAGCTGATCATGTTTGTCTACAAATCGATCCATGGGCTATCCCCAGTATACCTCAGGGAACTCACTGCCCTTTACTAACCTGGCCGAACACTGAGATCTGCAAACCAACTACAGCTTGCTGTTCCACCAACCAGCAGAACAACATATGGCGACAGAACCTTCCGAAAACCAACTCTATGGAATGCACTGCCCATTGATGTCAGGGAATCTAAAGATGTCAACGCCTTTAGATCAAAACTCAAGACCATCCTCTTCAAAAGAGCATACGACTGAGCGCTCTTGAGCAGGCAATATGTCTGGATAAGTAGCGCTATATAAATGCGTAATTTAATTTAAATTAATTGTACTTTTCGGGCGACATCAAGGGCATATGATTTCTATAGTAGGTGCGAATTTGATTGGTGCTTTTCTGACACAAAGGTGGTGATGTATGTATCATATCTTGTCCGTGGTTACACTATGATAAACTTGATAAGTTACACTTACTTATTTCACACGAGCTGTTGTATATCGCATAACAGATGACGCAGATGGATTCAAACACTCAAAAACACTAGCCATCTGATCCATTCATCTCGACGTCGCTAATCACGAAAATTGTCTTTAAGTATATCTTTGAAAAATACTACTCAAAAAGAAGTTAAAGAACACCTGATTTTTTATATTAGTATAGTTAATCCGTCCGTTAAGTCATGCGTCAAATAAATAAGTGCATCCTTCAACTTTTTACAGTCTAGAACATCTGACACACGGGTTCAATGACGAGCGTGCAAGCAAAGCGTCTTCTTATTTGGATTTGCGTGGAAGAAATCATTCACAATACATCTAGTACACTGCATTATGCTTATCTGTCGGGCGTAAAACAATAAGGCACTTACAAAAGGGCTATCTAACTATCTAAAGGGCGAATTAATTATGGCTTATAAGGTCAGGATTAAGTCCTGATGGGTCAATTAAGTCCTGATTGATAGAAAAGGATCCGGCTAGGGTCCATGCAGGTAGCAAAAGTAATGTAAGTTCCCATGGACCCTAGCATGGTGATCTACCTTCAGTTGTTGTCGCTCTATAGCCTGTTTTTATATTGTGTTACAAAATAATATCTTTTTACATGCTCTCTAACTAGTTTTATGTAAATCTGTGATATTCTAGTTATTATACTGCCCTTCGTCGGCAGAATTTTATACAGTTTAAAATATATTGTTAATGTCAAATTTTGTTTCGTCACGATATGGCTGAAATATTGCCGATGTGACGTTAAATTTTAACTCACTCACTCACTCACTCACTGATAGAAAAAGGGGAAATATGTGACATTTGCTGGCGCACGAGATCGGATGTTTAGCGTTTCCATGTCATACACTTTGCGGTCGTATAAGTTTTTATCAAAATATACAAAAAAAATTGTTTAGAAAATAAAAAAAATAAGCTTGACTTTTGTCAATTCCATGCTCGTTGTAAAAGTACCATATCTCTATCTCTTGTGTTTTACAATTGTATCATGTATTTCGTTTAAGATAATACTGATAATAAAATTGCCCACGAAAATCCAAAACTGGCTTACCTGAAGCTGGACGTTGCCCTAGTACACCAGGTAGATCCTGCACTCTGCAATAGCGTGTTATGATGCAAACAGCCTTATTTATACCGCCATCATTCTAAGTGTGACGCGCAGTAAAACAACGAAATGGTGTCAGGAACAGCCTCTAGAATGTCCTTTCAACGGTGGGTCACGTCCATCAACATCGTTGATGCTTGTGACAGATCAGTGACATGAGTCGAGGAAACAACTAAACGTGGTGGTTTTATGGACGAAAGAAAGAATGATTTGTTACATACTGTTGGATATTCTCAGCGGAAATTGTCCAAAGTGGTTTAGTCACGATTATATGTGTAGCTTGATGTGTTGCAACAAACAGTCAGATAGAGATTTTTATTTCAGTGTTGGAAGCCCCGTTGCCCTGAGTACAATCTTACACACATTATCAATGGTGTATGGTACATAAATTTAAAATGTACATTAATCATGAACGTTTCAAATAAATCGCCTTTAATAACTCTCTTAATGACACTGATGGACATCGCTAGGAATTAATTCCTTTTTTTTAAGAAATAGAGTTAATAGATAAATCTTGATAATATGTATTGTAAAAAGTATGTGATTTTAATTTGGTAAAATGATTATATAACTGTGATTGTTAGTGGCTTTACCTTAAAACGGGGTGGAAGTAATATAGAATAACTGTTCCCCTGAGAAGGTACGTAAGTCCCACTTCATTCAAAGTATATTTCATTTTCCTGGATTGTAATCGTAGAATACTTGGGTTTTTTTAATGCTTTGGCTAAAACTTTCTACCAAACACAAGTAGCCAGAGGGATGGTGTAAATCCTGCTGGGGTACCATGCCCATTTTTATAATGTATTGTTTAGAATAGTCGCTTTGTTTTGGTAACATGCTAGTTTTAAATCTATATCTGTGATAGTCGGGTGATTTTACTGTCCCTTGTCGCCAGATTTTACAGTCTATATTTACATATTATTCCTGTACAACATGATTTAGTCACGGTATACTGAAATACTGCCGATGTGACCATGAATCTTAACTAACTCACCCACTCACGCTGGGAATATATCATACATGGACATCAAGCTACAAATCCACATAATTCTTCCTGAGGAAAATTAACACTACTGTATCTGTGAATGCACATCGATTGTGGAATTTCCATTTATATCGTTAAATTTCTTCAAATGAAAATGGCTAAACCTTTCAAGGCTTTTCCCTTTCTTGTTGACATCAAATGTATTGGCTTCTGTCTTGATGAATAACGATGATGGTATGTCGATAACAACATGACACATTAGCAAGAAATGGTATTCATCTTCGATGTCCAAGTTACATTTATCACACATTAGGCATCTTGAATCATACACTGTTTTACTACAGCGTTGCACTTGAATTTTCAAACCATGTGATGAACACCGAAATTTAGCAAGTGTTCTCATAAGATCTTAATCAAAATGTGATGTTATATATAATTCACGCTTGTGTAATGTTTTATAAGATGTATACTGTCTTAGAAATACAGAAGTATTTATCTTTTGATACCAAGTGTGAATTTGAATCGTAATGCATCTGCTGTGGAACATACTTATAAATAAGATTCATCCCCAAATTCCTGGGATATCCAGGGTATGAGAATAACACTTTAACATGTGACGCCCAGTTTCCTCCTCTATTATCCACACATACCTTTTGCATGTCATAGAAAGCCCGAGGATAACGTGTTGGGGTCAAACGCACCAACCTACACAATACGTTATGCAGCGACAAAAATACTTAACCCGTAACGAATATCGCCCCTCTTCCCCTAGCACAGCCTTGGTTGATGTGCGTTTTCTAAAGAAAATGAATGTTTTAAGAAAATCACTTTGAACATTTTCAACAGATCTCACAACCATAACAGCTCTCTTCGTATAAAAATATTAACAATTACATTTCATGAAAGATTTTATTTCCTGATAAGATTATATTTTGGAAAACATGCTTTTTTAGCCTGTATAGCTAACGTCTCATAACCTTTATTTTGACCATACTAAACGTGAACAAAATACTAGACCAAGATATTTATCACACGATATTATATTCATTTTTTTCATTGCCATAAAACCAGTTTTCTACACTTTTGACATACCAGCCATTTCTTAATACAATTATTTCCGTTTTTTTCTAAATTTACCTCAATATTCCACTTTGGGCAAAAACATTCTAATGATGCTAGCTTCTTTTGTAGGTCAACAACTGAATCAGACATCAAACAAATATCACCTGCACACAACTTGATGATCTCAATGATATAATTTACAAAGATACCATTCGTTTCACTTTCAATCACCTCAGTAGCCAACTGGTGGATGAAAAGTATGAAAAGTACAGGACTTAGCTTATAGCCTTGTCTAACACCGCATGAATGATATCTGTTTTCTCAAATTCCCTTACAAACATTTCTATACACTGTCACTAAAACATTATACATGAATTATACAACCTTCTGTAATGACATATAAAACAACCTATTCCTATCAGCATTATCAAAGGCTTTACAGAAAGCAATATAGGCTGCATAAAAACAGTACTTAGGCTTACGTAAATATTTCTGAGCAAGTGATTGCAAAACAAAGATATTATCTTCAGTAGAATTTTCTTTTCTAAACCCAGCTTCAGATTCGGCAATCAGTTCATTTAATTCTAACCAATATCACAGTCTCAACTCAACTGGTGATGTAAATACTTTTCCCATGATATACTTTCATAACATTATGGTTAGAAGAATATCCATGGTCAACACAACCGCCGCAATCAAGTGTCTCAGACGCTTTTGTTACTTTAAAGCTGGGTGTACATTCCACAGAGTTCCAGAGCATCTCTACAGAACATGGGGCGATTGGAAAGCACCGATGATAATATTTCGAAGGGGAAGTAACCCTTTCTATTAAAAATCACTATTTATTTATTTTTTTAATCTTCAGAAAATGTGTGATGGTACATCGGATAGCGCTGTTTGCCTATTTGCAATAGCTCCAATTTAAACAGGGTCAGCCCTGTTGGCAGTGGGTCGCAATTCGCTGTGCAGAGTTACGCCCCTTAGGCATGCCAGAAGACATTGACCGGAAGTTCGAAACCCGGTTCGCCCCGGTTATGTTTCTCGGTTTGTGAGCACCAGACACCTGCTCATGGATTTACGGAAAACGTCTGAGACATGCATGACTTTGGACTTACCTTCTACGCCTTGTTTCATTTAAAATAGTGTTAAACCGACGTTATACCAAACTCACTTACTCCGAGTTTACCACGATCCTTCGCAACGTAAATATGTGCATCAAAACACACAGAATGATATGTATTTGCAATTGCTCATATTCAAGGGTGTATTAGTGAATGAGTTTGGTTTAACGCCGCTTTTAACAGTATTCCAGTTATATCACGGCGTGTCAGCTTAATATGGGAGGAAAGCCCGAAGTGATGCAGATCTAAGACGTTTACCAGTTCGGTGAAACCCACGAGCACGGGTATGCTGCTGACAAACCTAGAAACATAATCGGGGCGAACCGGGATTCGAACCCACAATCATAGGTTTCTGGCGTGCCCAAGGGACGCAACTCTGCACAGCAAAAGATGTTACTTGTTGTTACCCTGTCTGGCGCTTGGATCAGTATCCTGTGTCTGCGTGGGGTATTCATGTTACGCTGCGGCATGGCATCTCAGTTAGCTTGCACTAAAGTGAGTGAGTGTGGTTTTACGCCACTTTTAGCAATATTCCAGCAATATCACGGCGGGGGACACCAGAAATGGGTTCACACATTGTACCCATGTCGGGAATCGAACCCGGGTCTTCGACGTGACGAGCGAACGCTTTAACCACTGGGCTACCCGCCCCTTGCTAGTACTCGGCATCACACACACACACACACACACACACACACACACACACACACGTGCATGCACGTCACCCAATTTCACCTCACCTCACCCAATGTGAACTAGCCAAAGTTATCACAGGTCACGGACCTAGATCGGGATGACCCCTCTGTCTTTGCCGCAGCTAAAACAGCCCGAGGCAAACACCTACTTTGATACTACAATTGCCATTGACAGGTTATATGGTTTAGTAAAGCATACCAGGTAACCGTGACTGACAGATTATTCTTCATAACAAGAGTTATGTCCACAGCATGGACAATCCTTCAATCATCATTAATTAACCTTTTATAATCCGTAGTATTAGTCACAGGCGTGAAGCGTCGAGTATTGTCGTTCACATTTAACTGTTATACGCGCCTTGCTTGTTTGCATGTAAACGGCCGGAAAAAATGAAAGTATACACTTCCATATTTAATGGTGGCTAAAATGAAACAAACACGAAATGGTTATTTGATAGTTATCTATTTGATACGGGTATCAAAGATGTGTTGAAAAGTACAGTTTGCAGTGTTTCGGCGACTGTGTCCAGCCTAGTAACGATTTGATAACGTCTGCAATGTTTTGGTCACATAATTTCGTTTGCTTGACTGTTGATATTGTCCAGCAATGTGTATTGAAGCTGTTGTTTAAAAAGGGATGGTCCATGGTCCAAAGGTCCAAACGGCTTGAGTGAAGGGTACATGCACATATTTGTATTCAAATCAGTTCCCTCGTTCCGACAATTCATCTGTAAAACTTTACCATTTGTCGTTTTACGCCATTAACGCTTGGATGTTCTTATACCTTAATTTCAAAACGCACCTCTCATGCTTCCTAAAACCTACCTTCCATGGTCTGCTGCCCATTTAGGTACCCTGTATCTTTGTATAATGAGGGTATTCGTTGCCTGCTAGAATGATTGATGTATATCATAATTTCTTTATAAGAGCGTCATTTGTTTGATCATATGTTTGATATTTTGTCCCTTAAAGCTGAGCAATATTCCAGCTGTTACAGCCTTTGGTGTCTACATTTCACAAATTTTTGAGATACAATCGAGCAATGCTCGTTCCACAAAGATTTCAAAGAGTATCACACTACTCTTGTTCAAAAGATGTTTAATGGGAGACTTGCTGTTGTTATATGGCAGTATAATGTATTATTAAACAATGTTTTAATTGAATTACATTGTTTCTGATGAGATTCAAGTTCATGGCATTG